TAATTGAGGAAGGTCCTTTCCATGCCCCTCCTGGCTTTGAAAAAATCCCGAACAATATTTCAGTCAATGGATAAGAATGAATAATAATTCCAAGTGCAGCCCTTTATTTTTTTTAGGAATGCCAGCAACTTGAACTTGAGCTAAAGTAGTAAGTTGTGTTACTATGGAAAATACAATTTTCCTAATTCATTTGTTCCTGGACAAAATGGAATTGATCTCTCTTAAGAAACATCATCAGGTTTGTGAATAACAGATTTGTGAGCCTCTGGAATCTTTTATTTAAGGCTCTTCATGCTTTTAATTGGTAGGACAATTGGGAATGAAGTTTACTAATCAAGCTAGTATTCATTAGCTGACTGAATAGACTTTAAATTTATATTCTTAAATTTAATGGTATCTAGCTTAATACTTTTGTATTCTAGTTCTAGCTTAGTTTGAACGGTCATGTGTGGCAATGGAGAAGATGGACTAGGAAATGATTGTTTTGTCTTAAAATTGCAATACAGTGCAGTATTGAGACTGATGCCATCTCTTTTTGAGAAGGGTGCTGTGCCATTTGAGTACCAGCTGCTCAGTGACTAAAAGTAAGTTTTAAAAAGTTCACTTTCTAAGGACACCAGTGATGTGTGCATGTGAGTACCTGAAGCTGAGTCTTGGGAATTGAAAGGACTTGTGCACTGAGTTCTTGTTCCTTACTGGAACACTGAGAAATGGCAAAATTAAGTAGTTATGCATGTGTAGTAGTATAATGTGTGCATGCATCTTTTCATTGAAACAGAGCAGGGATATCAAATATATTTTGAAGTTTGTGGACTGCCTCACTGCCAGCTTTGTTTAACCAAGCCTTACATATTAAATTATTCATATTTTAATCTAAATTTACATGTGTCTGTGTTTCCAGGACAATTCTCTGATTAAAAAGCAATGAATAAACTGCACGTAGAAAGCAAGAAAACTAGAAACAATGCAACTTGTCCCAAATCCTTGCTTCCTCCCTTTCCTCTCATGCCCTCCGTTTTTATGTCTTGATTTTTCTAATTTTTCTAAGTCTCAAAAACTTACAATGAAGCGTTGAATTTTTTTCAAGTGACGATACATGAACCACCGTCACTGAAAAGGGAAGATCCTTTTCCTGATGTTACTGTTCTTTGTGCAAACCGAAGAGTGGCTTGGTGATAAGTAGTTTCAGTTTACTGAACTGGCAACAAACTAAGGAGGCAAAACTAGTGAATTGTTTCCTGCGGGGTGAGTTGAATCGGTTCAGTGTGGATGGGAGCACCAGCTGACACCCTCAGAAGAGTTCTGTTGATACTCAAAAAAAAAAAAAATCTTTTTGCATATCACAGTATTTTATCTGGCAAGCATCACTAAGAGCTGTCAAAAGTTAAGCAGTCTGTTTATCCTTCTGATCTTGATTAGAAACCTAAAAGCTGTATTTAATGGTGTCTAATTTTTTAATGATTACCGGAATGTGTTCTTGCAGGTGCCATTTTAGAGATTAAATGATTAAATGTATGAAGTGCAGTATTCTTATTAAAATAATAATAAAAAAAGAAAAACAACAACAACAACAAACTTTTTCAGCCTCCACGAACCAAGAAAAATGGGGATACATGTTTCATGATGCTCTGTATACAGAGGTACAGGCATGACCTAACTGAAGGCTTGATTCGGAGACTGTAAGGAGCTTATTTTCATTGCGTTGCATCTTCAGTCAATTTTACACAATTTTATGTGGAAATGGTGAAATCCTTAATGCCACTGAAAGGTTATTTTTAATGTTCCAGTCCTTAGGGAAGCAAGTCTTATTTTTAAATGCATTCTGGAGTCATCTCCTAGCTTTAGTTAGGGGCTAGGGATATCCCTTGTTTCTTCTTCCTCTCTCTCCAGTAGCTGAAAACATGAAGGTAATGTGAATTTGGTGAAAAGGCAAGGAGCAAAGTGTTTGTAGGGCTGCTGAAGGTTTGCCTAACCTATAAGATCCTTGAGGCTTTAAAAAGTAAATTATTTAACAGCTTTATAAGTGCCTTTTTTTTAATATGATAAATATTGTTTTGCAATAATATTTGTGTTTTGTTTAAAAAATACCATTTCTGTTGAAACTGCATTTTCAGTAACACTGTCCACAATCTTTTCCAGACCTTTAGTCATGGCCCATTAACCTATTTTTCTGGAGGTTTCACCAGGATCACTTTTACCCCAACAGTGTTAAATTTTTTGTTATTGAGGTGCAAGAAAATCTAAAATCACTGTGACTTTACATCTGTACGAGACCGATATGGTCAAATTACTAATAAGGAAGGATCTAGACAGCTTGTGAAGTTTGGAGTCACTATAATTATTTTATGTGTATATTAAGAGAAATACCCCTTGAAATGAAATGTAGTACTGAATAAAATGGTTTTGTTGATGAAAATGAGCTAATTGTTTTTCGAAAAACAAACAAGCAAGGAAACCTTGCCTTTCTCTCTTCTCATTCTCCCCCCGGCAACCCTGTCTGTAGAACAGTCACCAGACTGTTTTAATGGCTTTTTGTAAAAAAAAAACAAACCAAAAACGTATCCTTGGCTCGGTTTTATGTTTTTTTAGTGAAATAACCTAGAAGAAATAATGCAATTGCAACGACTGTAACTATACCACATGTTGTACTGCTTTTATTCGAAGAGGTTTCACCAAGGGCTTGGAATGACATGGTAGACTAGGCTCTCTTGAGCAATTTCTACTGAGAAAGCATAAAACTGTTACACTTGAAAAATGGAAGTCACTATTCTGGAATTAAAGTTAAAACTTTGGTCTATACTAGGTGAAAGGCAAGCTTGCAGGCTGATGTGGTAACTTAGATTTATGCTTATTTAAACAAGAAATATATCATCTGGAAGGAGTAGCAGGGATTTAGTTGTACTGTGTGAAATTTGTATGTAGTTCCAGGGTGTCACATTTGAAAAGTGGGAATCTTTCTGACTAACAAGGATAAGATTGTTAGTGAAATTATTTTATAGAAAGTATTTTCTTGGATCATTTACGCAAACACATTTAATTGTTTTGATACACTTACTTTGTTAGAGGAAAAATGGTTTCCTTACAGGCTGTTTTTCCCTGAGCATTACATTTTCACATGCAGAAATATAATGCTACTATATGGTTCCTCTGTCTTCAAAGTTATATTCTTCTGCCTTGCTGACAGCTTTATTATTATTTTTTAAAGCTGTTTTTCTTAAGAGAGTACTACAGATTACATAAAGATTTTCTTCTACATTGGACAGTTTTAAGACTCAACTTGACAGGGTGCTGGGCCATATCATTTAAACTAAACTTTTACCTTGAAAGGTTGGACAAGATGATCCTTGAGGTCCCTTCCAACCTGGTAGTCTATGATTCTATAAGCTGCAGACAGGGTAACCTTAAGCTTCTAGACATAGCTGCCTTGGCCATTTCATACGCATCTGTCAAATACTTTCATAGAGGAGATTTGCTGAGCTACTCCTCCGAGTTTGAAATTAAAGGGTCCTTCCTATGACTTCCAAGAAAAGTGTTGGTTTTTTTTTTTTTTCAACTGGGAAGGAGAGAAGTTTTGTTTAAATGCCCATTTAACTACACAGAAGTGTTAGTGTGGGTATTCTGCCCCCTTCAGAGAAGAAACCGAACTGCTTACGCACATCCTTTTCCACGAGTGAGAGGAAGGACACTGTCTTTTTATATCTTGTATTTGAAGTCTGGGGGTCTATGGCATGTGAGAGCCTTGGCTTCGTTCCTGACTAGTCTCTAAAAGCTGTCTTAACTGCAGCCTGGTATCACCTCTCCGTAGGTATTTGAGCACATGAGAGTTTATGTAGAGCAGTGTCACACCATGTGTTATACTTTGGTGACGTTTTGGTGTCCACCTGTATTTTGGGAGGGTATTCTGCATTCCTTAACATTTAGTCCCTTTCAGTCAGGGTCTACTTCCATTATACTTTAACAAGAACATATTGTGCAAATACTTAAGACTGTTGTTGCATGTAGTTAAGTTACTAGGTATCACTGCTGGATTACAAGCATTTATGATCTGTTTTATCGGAGTGATTTATTTATAATTTATTTTTTTTTTTAGTTATTACTTTTTTCAGGTTTTAAAGCCTGAACTTAGTCATGATTTACAGGAGAACAATTTGATTTCAAATTTTGTTGTTACTTGTTTTCTGTTGAATAAACACACAAAATGATTTATTGACTAGTAAAATCACTACAATAGGCTATTTTAAGTGTGTCTTTTCTGCTGTATGTGGTGTGTTAAGTAGTCAAAAAGCATTATATATATGTATTTATGTATATGCAGTATTTAAATTTTTCTGTTAGGAAGTGTAACATTGTCCATGTTTTTTCAAGCTAGAAATTTTGTCTTAAATACTTTAAGTTGCTAAATAAGAGTATTGCTGCTTAACTTAGCTGTTTTAAGAACTGGAAATGCACTAACATTCAAAGAACAATAAGTATACCATTGTTCGCACTTCTCAAAAATAAAAGGAGAGAGATATAAATCCATGATCTATAATTTTTTTTAAAAGTCTGGATTTAAAAATGAGCTGAAACTGATGTTTTTGTTAAAAATCTGACAAAGTTCTTTAAATCCTTACTATTTGACATTGAGTCATCATGCTTTGTTTTAATGCATGCAGTAAATCCAGATATGAGCAGGAATTGTCACAAGTTTTATTTTGAAGTCGTTGACTGTTAAAAAGTATGTTTTATAGTTCTCATATTAACATTTAAAATTATTATATTTTAAAATCTGCACTAGTGCTTCAGAAGGAATGTTGTTTGATGCTATTGACCAGTAATGTTTTGCTGGTTTCTGTTTAATTAATTCTCAGTGATCACTTGCTGAATATGTAATTCCTTTTCCCTTGTCAACTGAAGTGGTGATGTATTTACAGATTAAGTAATCTTTTAGCTCATGTTAATTACAAAAAAGCCTTATTCTAAAATATTTCAGCAGTTTTAAAACAAACTTTGAATTTTAGATTAGTGAAGACCTCAAAGAAGAATTGGCAAATGAGCTGTATACATCAACCCCTGGCCATAGTACACCTAAACTAAAAGAACAAATATTCTATAAGGTAAGTAGAAATTGCTGAGTTCCACAGATTTGCGTTCATTCTCTTTCAGTTAAACTTGGACTTACTAATTTTAAGTTTACATAATAAAACTAGTTGAATGAAGGGAACTTTAAACTTATAATAATGTCTTCTGGCCTCTTCTGCCATCCCTTGCCTTTCACCACAGAAAAGGTCCTAAGTTTTAATGTTCCCCAGACAAATGACTTAACTTGTCTGACTGACGGACTGTTCAGGTTGGAGACATTCTCAAACATCTGTTGCTGAAACTAGGTTTGGTCTGATTGTGTTAGTCTGATAATCTCTTTGCAAGAGAGGAAGGGGAGAGGAAAGCAGTTTCTAATGTAGCCCGCCGGTTCTTCTTTGGAGCAAAGTTGATTGGGTTCCAGATCTGTTTCCAAGACCTTTTATATGTAGCTTACATGAACCAAATATTTCAAGATGTCTGAAGCAGAAGGCCAACGGAAGTCCATTTTCAAATATCAAATCAGTAAGCGATGCAAAGCTACGTACTTGGGCTAGTAATCATAGATACAAACTTTAAAGTAGCTTATTTTGTCTATTTGCGTGACTTTGTATAAGTAAACAATATTTTCCCACCAAAATAATGATCAGCTATTCCAAAGTCAACATTTCAAAATCTTTGAATTTTGTCTTTGTTAAAAGACAGAGATGACTTAAAGCTTTACTGCTCCATCTTGAATCTTAGGGTTGTATTATTTTGCTATTCCATAATGTGTTTTTTTCGTCTTTCTCAGGTTGGGCTTGCAGATGCTGTGGATCTATTTAGAGCCAGAAGAGTGTTTGTTAAAGACGGCTTTGCTTATGTGCCATTTAAGGAGATTGTTGTGATTGTTTTGAATAACTACAGAACAAAGTTATCTAAAGCACTGGCGGTAAGTCTGATAAAGTCTGATATTTACAACTTTTGTTGCATTATGTGGTGACACTGTTGATTTCCATCTGAAGAACACCAGAAGCCCAATCAAAAGTTCTGGCAGCACTAAAAAAAGGTTCATTATGAGCTGAGAGTTCATTAATTTTAAATGGAATTTAGCATGAGGTGCATTGTAAAGAAATTTCTGCTAGAGGATTTTAAGATTATTTCCCAAATAGAGAATAACATGACTTTTCATTGAAAATGACAGACCTGTTCACACAACTGTTTTTTCTCTTCATATCAAATCTTTTCTCCTACAGCATTTTGCAACAGTTTTTTGTTGAAACAAGTAAAAGAGTGATTTGTGGGTGGGATTTTTTCTTCTTTTTTCTTTTGTTAGAACTGAAATGAGGATAAGTCAGAAGATGTCAGGCAAAAATAAAGTCCTCATTCTATGAGTGTTAGAGGTGTCGAATCTAGTTAGGACACCTGTAGTAAATACCATGTGTGAATGCTCTTCTGTTAGTGATTTGGTGATCAGTTTAGGAATTGCTAGTTTTACAATATTAGACTCTCACAGAGTTTAAAAGTTGGTGATCATGTATAATACACAGAATTTTAGTCCTAGAAAATACAGCATTGAGTAACATGAAGGCACTTTGGATTGCTTTTTAAAAATGTTTTCAAAGCCTTATATTGATATGTCACATTAATATTGAGGTTGACCATGAGTGTTTAGTGAACAATGTGAAGTAAAAAATGCATCCCTTTAAGAAGCTGCTAGTATGCTGATTTTCTAATTTGTTGATTTTGAATATAACAGGATTCTGTGGGATTACTTAAAGTACAGTGAAAATCATTGATATTCTTATGTGAACATTTCCATTGGAACTCTTTAATACAACTGCAGCTAGAAACATCTTCATTTCAGTTGATGCATAATGTTCTTGCTGAAATCTGATAACATTTGTGTGGGATTTAAAAGCCATGAATGTATTCTACAGAAATGTGGCTAAGTACGCAGATTATCTGCATCTATTTAAAATACTTTTGAGAAGCTTCAGGGACTTTTGGAATTTGCCTGTTGTGTGAGTAGCTGAGAAGTCTGAAAAACGGTAGGAACTGTAAAGAGTAGGCTACCTGACTTTTCAGTTTGGGGAAAAATCTGCAAATTTTCCTTATGAACACACACTGGCTTACATATATTTAATTTAACCCAGATTGCTATATTAAAGCAAATAGCTACTTTATAGTGAAGAAGCACTTCTTTATGTTTTCCTCTGTAATCATGGTTTAGAAATTTTGATGCTCTCATGAGCTTGGAAAACTGTCTTCTATAGAACTGCTATGTTTTAAGTTATTGCGGTATTTCAGGTTTGCATTCGGTTTTAGTTCTAATACATGCGTTTTGTCAATTAAAGTTTACCATGTTTTCAGAATAAGGAATAAAAGAAGGTTCATGATTTCTGTCCTATTCCAAAGCTCCTGACTGAAGTCGTGGGGTTTTGATTGCTAATTTAGTTTGAGAAACCACATTTAATACGCTGTTTCAGCTAATTTTAGCCAGCACAGTGCGCTGCTGAGAGATGTTAGGAATATTATTACATTGAGTCTTTTTGAAATGAAGGCAAAAAATCCAGCATGTTTTGCAGAGGTAAATCTAATGTTATTCTGGTATACCAAGCAGAGGCATAACTGGAGTGTGACACTTGGTTGCTGGATAGTTAGTGTAGTTTTCACTGGAACAAAACTATAACCATCAATTACATTTCAGAGAAACTGTAAGAAATACACTTTTAAAGAAAGGATTGTACAGAAGGAATCTTTTTAAAATCTAAAGATGGTAATGGTTGCTGTTCCACAACATACAAATTAGGAGGATAATCTTCAATGGTTTTCCTCAGCCTTATCTGGAGTGAAGAGGCACATTTCAATAGAAGTTATGACACAGTATATGACTTCCAGTGGTGTTTGTGAAAACCAGTTGTTGAAATACTCTTTGATCTAGTGTTAAGTTCTGCAAGTACAGCTGGTTTAGTAGTGCTTGGAAATGCTTTTGTAGCACATGGATGTTTGTATGTGTCTGCTACAAAGGAGAAATCATTCAAGAGAAATGTGCTGAATTTCAGGCACTGTGACAGCATAGAGGTCTTCATGAGTTTGTGCAGAAGTTGCGTATCACGGCCAGACTTAATTAATAGAGCCTTGAACACCATCACTGATTTGTTATTTAATTTGGCTCTTAATGAATGTATTTGATAACAGTACCACTTTGGTAAGCATTACTTAGGTGTGCTTTTGGGAGTGTGTTTTAGTGTTTTTGCAGCATCTGGCTATTTATACTTTGTTCTCAGCACTTTCTAACGGAAAAAATGTTATTAGAATTTGAGAGTTAAAGATCTTAATGATGTGATAATCCACATTAGGCTTGAATGCTATTTCTAAAGAAGAGGTCTGTATATTCACAGGATCATAAAATTAGGTGAAATACTTGTATCTTCTGTATGGGTTAGTTTGACTTTGGCCAATATTTCTGGCTTTTGACGGTCTGTTTTAAGCTTCTAAGGGACAAAATACCCTGAATATAAATAGTGGAAAGACGGTCTTTCAGGCATGTAGTTTGAGAAATCTTTCTTACGGCTCTCATTAGTGGTTCAATTCTTCAGTGTTAAAGCAGCGTAGTTTTCCAGTGTGTATGGTGTTATTGATTATTTGTACTGTGATGCATGTTTTGCCTCTTGGAGGTTGTTTGGTGCTACTCCAAGGAGTTGCACGCGTAGGTTTTTGGAAGAAGTTATCCCTACACAGGAATGATTTCATGGTGAAGGCCTGCCCTCTCTTTTCCAAGGTGCTCTGAAGCTGTTTCACTTTATGGGAGTGTGCTTATGCTAAAGCTACTCTTCCTAGGTCTCCAAAGCATTGGATAATTTGGATGGTCGCTTAGCCTTGTTAAATTGCTCACCACAGTGCAGACTCGTGTCACCACCATCCTGCATGTTATACGGTGATTCTAGCTGCGGTTGTAAAGGAGGAATACAAGGAGGTGAATTGATGTGTTGATACTGAACTTTGAGAGAACATTAAATAATTCATAGTACTGACTTCTAAAAACAGTTTTATGTTGACACTGTCATGGATTCATTTTGGTCAGAGTTATGCTTTAATCGCTTGCTAGTCACGCCCATGAAGCAGTCGTGTTTTGTTTATCCTTTAAAAATAAGTTTGACATCTTGACTATGTGGCTATTCCTTGAGGCTCCATAATAGGGGGAGTTAATACTATTTAAGCCTTCTTGACAGTTGCAAATGCAGCTGAAGGAGTTCATTTTATGTGCAAAATCAATACTGCAAGGACCTTCTTTCTGTATTCTATAGTAAGTAGTTTCCTTTGTGCCATTAATGATGATTATAGTGTAGAAAATCCGAACATTTTCTGTAGTTCACAAAGGTTGTAATATTAGCTCTACAATTATTAATTCCATTGCATTATATTTTATTCATGAGGTTTTACTGTGTTTACATGAATACACAAACATTTCTGCAGTAATGCTGTGCTGCATTTTGGTAATTTCAGTTGTAGTCATGTAGTGAACTTAGGTTGTGAAATTATTGGCAGTATTGGATCAAATGTTTTGAAGATGTTTGTTCTAATTTTTGATTTCTTGAAATGAAAAGATTTGGCTTAATGTCGCAGTTCAGACCCACAGACCCGCATCAAAGCTGTGTTGTACTTGGTACTGCACAAAGGAGAATTGCTGCAGGGAAATCTGAAGTGGGTCAGAGGGGGGAGAGGACAGAATCATCAGCTGGGACTGGCCTTTATCAGCAGTGTCCTCAAATAATTGAGAAAACGACTTGGTATTGCATTAGCGGTTGCCCAACTTGTTTGAACAGGAGTTTGCATTGGGCAGCAGGTTGCCTCCACAATTCCCACCCTATGTGATTAACCGCAGTGGGCGCAGGGGTGGACAATGTCTCCCATCTGCTGCAAGTGTTGCAGTCTTCAGTGTGAGCTTCCCTCTTGATAGCAAGTGCTTCTTCTTAGTTGAATGCCTGCACAGTTTTACTTTGTAGTATGATCTTGTGTAATCTGACAAAAAATTGAGTCTACAACTCAAATTGGGTTTTGAGGGCCTAGCACAAAAGGAAGACCTCAATGCTGTTTTCTAATTTTTATGCATTTTTTTGTTATTCCTTTCCCTATTTGGGATGTAATCTTCAAAATTGTTAGAAATGTGGATCAAGTAAGTTGCTTCTAGCTTTACTAATACTTGTAATGATTTGTCTTTTAAATACTAGTCAAATATGCTGTTTCGGTTGATGTATGCTATATTCTCAAAGAAGCTGCTAATTTGGGAAAAGCATCGGTATACATGGCACCACCTGCAAAACATTTTCTTCCTAAAACACCTACATTTTCAAGCAGTGAAGCAGAATGCTTTATGTAGTGGCATTAATGTTGAAAAAGTATGATTGATGATGGGCTTGTCACTTGAAATTCATTTCAGGTGTTGTGTTCTCAGTGTTAACGTAGAGTAATTCACTGTAACATAAATGGATGGTTTTTATAGTATGCACATACAAAGTTAGTGAGGTAATAACTTTGGCAGTGCAGGGTAAAAGGTGATTACAGTGACTTTGTCCTCTGAATCTCTCAGATGAAAGTTTGCTGTGAGAAGTTCTGCAGAGCAGCAGCTGGCTTTCGTTTCTGGGTAATATTATATTGTAAGGGCATTGTCTAAGGCACAGGTCTACTGAATAAAATGGTGGTATTTGGAGAGGGAGAAGCAGAACCAAAGGAAATGACTTGGAGTGTGTGTTTGCATGTCAGAGAGAACTCAAGCCTGTATGCAGAATGGTTACCTGAAAGACAGGGAAACTCGCTGGACTTTTCTTTGTAGACCTTCTTTTTGACATGGCCCCTTAATTGTCCCATTGTTGGCTATTTTCTGAAATCCATCCTTCAGTGTTTTATCTCCTCTACTAATTGAAGTATATGTGTTTCTTTTAGAGATTA